ATATTGTTCAGTCTCCAGATATTTGTATATTTTCTGAGGTTAGTCTTGATATTGATTTCTTGCTTAGTTCACTGTGATCTGGTACAGTGTGGGAGATTATTTTGATTTTTTTTTTATTTATGAAGGCTTGTGTTGTGGCCTATAATGTGGTCAGTTTTAGAGATGGTTCCAACTGTGGCTGAGAAGAAAGTTCACTTCTATCAGCTGGGTGAAATGTTCTGTAGATTTATTAGTTTCATTTGATCTATGATGCAGTTTATCTCTGAGTTTCCTTGACTGATTGTTAGTTTGGAAGGTCTATCTAGATAGATGGGGTACCAAAGCCTTCATTATTATTATTATAACTGGATTTATGTAGTCTTCTATGAGACTGGGGTTTCAAGATTCATGACATAAACATCTATGGTTGTATCCTTTTGATGAAGTGTTCCTTTTATTAATACTTAGTGTACCTCATCATCTTTTTGGACTAGTTTTGGTTTGAGATCTACATAATCGGTATCAGAATCATTCTGCCAGCTTGTTTGTGTCTTCTGCTGGCTTGACAGTTTGCTTTCCAACCTTTGACTCTCAGCTTCTTCCCTAGCTATATGAGTTTCCTGGAGAGCACAGATAATTGGGTCATGTTTTTTAATCCACTCCATCAGTCTCTGTCTTCTAATTGCTGTCTTAAGGCTTTTGGTATTCAAGCCTATAATTGAGAAGGGTTTGCTATTGTTTATGATTTTTTGCTTGTTGCTCTTGTTGGTGGAATGATTGGCAGTTCCTTTCTTCTGTTCCTGGCAGTGTTTTCTGTGTTGGATGTGATTGATTCTTTCCCAAGTCTCTCGTTTTTGTTCCTTTCATAGAATGTATTCTTTCCTGTGTTCTGATGTGTGAAGCTTTCTTTTTTCTTTCTCTCTGTATAATAATCCTTAAAGTTTGTTCTTAGTACTGGTCTAATTATTATAAATTATATAATTTTCATTTAGTATATGTATGTGCTTGTGTTGTTTTGAGATATTCTTATCTCTTTATCTGTTTTCAGAGTATAGCAATTTCAGCTAACAAAAATTTCTTTTAAGGGTTCAAATATATCATTCTATGCTTTTATGGTTGCTGATATCAGATCTGATGTTACTCTAATGTTTATGCCTCTGTGTGTGGGCATTTTCCTCTTATGGTTTCCTTGCTTTGCATTTTTGATATCTTGAGTATGATACATTTTGGAGAGATTCTTCTCTGGTCCTGACTGCTTGGGGTTCTGAAGGCTTGCTCTATTTGTATGTCTGCCCTTCTAGAGTCAGGCAATTCTTGGCTAAAATTTCATTGACTAGGTTGTTTAAGACATTTGATTGTCATCTTCTTTCATCCCATGTGTAGTCTACACTTTGTTCTCTTGGGTGTATGTGCATGCATGGTGAGGTCCATTGGTCTCAAAATTAGACCCAGAACTTGTTAGTATGGCCAGCCTTGCTAGATAGCTCGCTCTGGAGAGTTTCTGTATCTACTATCTCAGACTGACATTACAGGTGTGCTTGCACACCCATTTGTCACTTATGTGGGCTCTGGGGACCCAAACTCTAGACTTCATACAAGCATTCTAGCCACTAAGAAATCTCCCTGGCCCATTTTTTCCTTTTATATGTCTGTGTGCATTACTGTCTCAACCTTGGTATTCACTCTTGAGATGAACTCTGCTGCTTGGTCGCGTTTGTCGATGACACTCTGCTATGTTACTTGTTACCTGATTGATTCTTTCATTTCCAGAGTCCTGCTAGTCCTTGCACAGACTCTGCATTTCCTTGGTGATTTTTCTTCCATATTTTAATTTTTTCCTCCTAGTTACTGGTTCTTATAGCCACGCCATATTGGCAACTTTCTGTGTTTTAAATCAATTTCATAACTTAAGCTAAGTTCCTTATCTGTTTATTTGCGTCCTCTATTTGGCCTTTGGAAAAAATTGTTTTTGATAAAATTCTGCAATCTGTTTTTGCACTTGTGTGAAGTTCAACATCTATCATCTTTGGTTTCTATTGTTAAGAAGATGTCAGCCCATGGGTTGTCATAGTGGAATATCTTCTCACGCCTTTCATGCCTCTTTGTTGTGCTTTGGGCTTCTCTTGAGGAGTATCTGTTCTCTGGTTTGCAGCTCTTTCCCCTTCCCCATGGTTTTTTATCTTTGCTTTATGCATATCTTTGTTTATTTTTGGTACCTTGTCCTCACTTAGACTTTTTATCACCCAAGCTGACTGTAATGGCAGCCATAATAATTCAATGTAAGCCCCCAGGTGAGCTGCTGAAGATACCGTGTTCTTCACTGGTGTTACCTAGAAAGGCTGAAGACAAGAGAACTAGGATTCTCGCTGGGGGAGAATACAACATATTTAAGTGGCAAAGTGAAGGGGTATGAAGGATGGGATAGGAGGGGCTTCAGTAAGAATTAAATCAAGTATATGGATTAGATATACAAAAAGTAGTAAAGAAAATTTACATTAAATTTAGAGAAAAGGAAGATATAAAAGCTTTCTCTAGCAAGGTACAAGTTGCATCACTTTACCTGAACTTAAAATATAAACGTATATGTGCAAAGAGAGAAAAATTTAAAGAATTTAAAAAAACGAAATAAGGCATATAGAAAACAAAAAATAAAATAAACATTTGAACACAAATGAGTGATGAATGGAAATAAATATGTTCGCAGTCACTGTTTGTTATTGGTTAGGAGAAAGCCCCAACCCCGTATCTACAGGTCCATCAGTGCATTGCAACACGTTCCACCACAGGCTTCCTGTTATCCACGTAGCTTTTCTCAGCTGTGGTCAGGGTGGGGAGTGTTGAGAATCTCTCTGCTTCCGGTGTCCTTACCACATTTCAGCGATGGCCACGGTCTGTGTGTCTTAGGGTTACTGATCATATCCAGCGTTGATGTCTTGTGGTTCCAAGGGGTCTCTGGCTCCACAAGGCACCAGCAGTCATGGGGTCTGGTGGGATGCATGGTGTGAACTTTGCAACTTCAGAGCCCTTTTCTCTCTCTCTGGAACGGTGTCTGTGTGCTGCTCTTTCCCTTCACAGGCAACTACCCAAAGGTTGAGGTCAGCTCCAGCTAATCCCTCATACCCTCTTTCAGGTTTGTCTGTTCCTGTTGTGCCTCAGTCAGGTTATCTGTGCCTTCAGACTGTGGCAGGGGAGCAGTACTGTGGGCATTATAAACCCCTCAGCTTCCCATTCCTAGATCCTTTGTCCAGCACTTGCTCAACATCTGCTGGGACAGTTTGCCCTCTTTATTAACTTTTTGGCAGAATTGATTTTTCAGAGTAGTTATAGTCAGCCAAGTCTGTGAATATGGCCACTGAACCCAAGGCAGTGGCTTTTGCAAAGATGATGGAGCTAACATTAAATCCAGCCACCATAGCTCTCCTTGGGACTGTGGGGAAAGGCAGAGCTGACGAAGATGAATCAGTGAACAGAAGAGCCAGTCAATCACAGGAGTATGACGAACAGGGAGTTACAAAACACACCTTAGGTTCAGCCTTAGTCCCTCTCCCCACCCTTTCCCTTTCAGATCACCATTTCTCTGTCTCTGCTTGACTGACATTTTAGGTTGGATAACTCTTTATTGTGAAGGATTGTCCTGGGCTTGGAATGTTTAGTTCCATTTTCTGGTCTGAGAAACTTCATCACCACCACCACCACCACTACCAACAACAACAACAACCAGCAACTGCCCTACCAGCCATGTCACTAACATCCTAGATAGCCAAATGACTCATTTTGTAGGGAATTTGACTCCAGCTAGCAAGCACTGTTTTATGATGCCCAGAATCTCCATTTGCCCTGGACTGAGAAACTAAAAGGAATTTGGTGCACAAGCCCTAGCATAGCCTGGGTGCAAACTGGGATATGGATTGACTGACAAATGAGTTCATTCTCGGTTCTGTTGGGGCTGAGCCAGCAGAGGGGCGTTGTGTTGATGATGTGACTGTTGCAGGAGTCCTGTTTCCCAGATGTTGTTGTTGTACCAGGCACATCTGACTCATGCCCTTTTCTTCCTTTACTGTGGTCTTCCAGGACAATGAGAAGTGTCCCCTGCAGGCTGGCTGAGTGACTGAGTGAGTGGAGAGCTGGGGAAGGACAGAGTGCTTGTGATGTGAAGGTGGGTGGAATGGAGTGGTGGGGAGGGGTGGAGCAGGGAGAGCCCACAGGTGTTGCCTGAGCAGACACTGTATAGGTATTTACACCAGGAGTTAATGGTACTTGATGGGGTGGGGGAGGTTCTCAGCTCTATTAACAGACTGTGATGACGTTGACTTTTTTATTTACTTGGTGTTTGTAATATGTTTTGGTGTGTGAGTCCCTCTGATAATTTGACAAGTTTTGTCAAAGTCTCAAGCATGATTTGTTATTGTCGGAGTAACTGTTCAAAAGTAAATATATCCATTCTCTGCAAGTTTATAAGGCATACCCTAGAGACCATTGTTTTTCAACTTTCTGCTTTTGGTATCATTTCGATGTCCCATTCCAGGATGAAACAGCTGAGTTTTGCAGGCGATAAGTGACAGGCTCTAGTCAAAGGTCAGGGTTTGAGTCTGGACATGAGAACCTTCACCTTCCACCAAGCCCTGAGAGAATGAGTTGAGCACGCCAGTGGTGAGTCTGTGTCAGGGTGAGCCGGTCTGGGAAAATAATAAGTGTGGTCGGGAAGAGAGTGAATCAGCTTCACTGACTGACAAACGGCTCCTTCCCCCTCTCTTCCTGGTACCGCAAGTGGGAGGAGGATGAAGCAGGTTCCACAAGGGCAGGTGCCCAGAATTCACAGTCATCTGGTGCCAAGACACAGGCCTCCCTAATCTATGGGTACACGTTGGATTAGGAGGACAGAGTAGGATCTGCGGTGTGGCTGTCCCGTCCTTCCTGGATTGTGTAAACCTGTGACTCTTGCCAAGAACTGTCCATGCCTGGAGCCAGTCCTTTCTCATTGGATAACTTTGTTTCATTTTGCTGGGAGGCGTATCTTTCAAGTTGCAGGGCAGTGATATCTACAACTACCTCACAGGAGCTCAGTGACTCCAGTAGCCACGATGACAGCAGACGAGTTGGTCTTCTTTGTGAATGGCAAAAAGGTAAGCGGGAATTGATGTTCGATTTAGAGATTCTGCTGTCCGGGAAGGGAGATGTGTCATCTCTCTTACCTGGACACTTTGATTTTTTCTGCTCTCATTTTATCCCGTAAAAGGTATTGCTGTAGTTTAGTAACCTTTGAACAGGAGCACAGGCAACACACTCGGAGGGCAAAGGAGGAAGGTAGAGCGATGTCCCCTCCATGCTTGTGGACACACTGGCTTAGAGACAGAAAAGGAACAGAGTTGAAGTGAGATGAGGAGTCACCAGAACATCTCTATTCTGTGTTTAAGTCAACCTAGCCTGGTGTTTTGATGGCTCTCTTTACTACGAACTGCAGCAGGCAGGCATTTTTATGCTAATGTCAAGGCATAAAACACACATAGCCACAGATTCTGATATATGATCCTATATATAGATTTAACAGCTAAAACTGATTTACTATGTGTCGACATATACTGACACCTTGTGGCAAGCCATTATTGTCATTATTATTTTCATAAAGGATTCCCCTGCCACCATCTCTCAGTTCTATATGTAAATATTGCAAACCCCTTAAATGTCACTTGGAAATGTAGGGAAAATGGTATGGGATCCACAGGTCCCTGATAGCCCGAGAATCTTTGCAACTTCAACTCAGTGCAGGGAGAGAAGTGTATTGTCTCTGGTGCTGTTTGCCTCCCTTCAGGGTACTCAGGGCAATTCAGCTCCTCACTTGAGATCATAGGGGAAGAACCGTCATTCCCCCCCTGTAAACTGGCTACATAGACATTATAAACCATGAGTGAACCAAAGGATCCCCTAAAAGTTTTACTTGTCTTGTTATGTTGACACTTTGGTGTTGATTGAAGAGACTGAGTAACTTCTGAGGAAATTTGCAAGAATGAACATGTGCTTCCAAGAATTCTCAAGGACGTAGACGGCCAGGATCTGCTTGGGTAACCAGCACGGAAACTTTAGGAGTCATTTCAACACCAGTACTGTAAAGCCTGTGGATTCAGCTTGAATGATCTCATCCCTGGATCCCTGGATCTCTCTGATATATTGTTTTCTGAGTTGGGCAACTGGTACCAAGACAAGAGCTAGGCTGAAATGCCTAAGTTGCTGGTAGTAAGGCTTTTGGACTGAATATTTTAAATGTCTTTTGTGCTCAGCAGTTGCATCACAGAGGTGTAAGAAACAGCTGTTAACTTGGTTTTCTGGAAATATCATGGACACACAGACATCATCTTTGGGACTTTCATAAATGAATTTTTTTCAATGAGCTAGTGGCAGGTTCAAAGTGTTCTGAAGGTCATATCTTACCCTAAGGTATATTGAGCTGTTGATTTGTGTGTGAGCCAACATTCTTCTGAGGGGGATAGCTCGCTGTTAGCCTTTGTGTCTAAAAAAGAGTGTCTCTGAGGTGAACTGGCTTGGCTGAAATTGCTTTCCCTTGTGTTTTATTAGCACTGTAGAGAAGTGATTTTTAGATTTTTAGAGTGCAGCATCATACCAATCCCTTCTGTCCCTGGGAGCTTCTGATCCTGTCAGGTTATCATGATGAATAGCCATCCACATCTCTCATTTAAAAAGGTGTGACCTCTCAGGAAACTGCCAAAGATGAAGAGAAGAAGGGTAAATTAGCAAGTAGTAATAAGCAAAAGCAAGCGGGGCGGTCTGGGTGAGCAGAGGCAGATTGAGTAAGTTCAGATTCATTTCCTTCTTCAACATGTCCTAGGCATTGGGCCATAGATGTTGTGCAAAAAAATTACCAAAGAAGCTGTAGAAGGATGGCGGCTCATTCTTTTTGGGGAGCCTCTTTCTTTCCTGCTTTTCAGCACTGTGCAGGGTTCTGTCTGCATGAGTGGACTTAGAGAGGGCTCAGATATGGGACACCAGGCACCTGTGGGATGGATCTTCTGAGAGTGGTGTGGACCTTGGTGACCTCTGGAGTCAGTATTAGAGAGAGAGAGAGAGAGAGAGAGAGAGAGAGAGAGAGAGAGAGAGAAAGAGAGAGAGACCTAATATTTCACCAGCATTGTGGTGATGTCCTCTTCAGGGGCCAGGATTCTAGTCTCACTGAGAGGGATGCAAGAGAAATCCCTACAGGAAGAGGATATAGCTGGAGGCATGCAGCTTTATTTATTCACTGATTAATTATAATTTTAATGTTATAAATTTAATGTATAATAGTATGCTGTTATCTCTTAGGACCTTCTTCCTTCCTTCCTTCCTTCCTTCCTTCCTTCCTTCCTTCCTTCCTTCCAGTTTTTTTTTTTTGAGACAGGGTCTTATTATGTAGACCAGGCTGGCCTCAAACTCACAGAGATTGGCTGGCCTCTGAGCCTTGAGCGCTGTAACTAACAGCGTGGGCCACTACAACACAACACCCAGCAATCATTATTTCTTTTAAAGATCAAATTCTCAGAGCAATTTACTCACTCAGTTTTTCTTTAAATTCTGTGTATTTATATTCTCTCTCTCTCTCTCTCTCTCTCTCTCTCTCTCTCTCTGTGTGTGTGTGTGTGTGTGCGCACGCGCGCGCGGGGTGGGGGGAAGAGAAACTATAAATGAACTCAGCTCAGATTATCAAGCTTGGTAGCAGGCAGCTTTATCCACCGGGCCATGTTGCTAGCCCATCAATGAAAGCATTTGTAATCCTCCTCCCCCACAGTGTAAGTTCCGTTTGTATCCCCAGCACCACAATGCCTGACATAACCCACTGAAGGAAGGGAGGGAGGGAGGATTTGTTTTGGCTCATGGTTTCATTGGATTTAGTCCACAAATAGGTCTCATACACTTGAGCACACAATCAAGTTAAATAAAGGGAAGGGGCCATTATCCACAATATGACAGACAAGGAGATGGAGAGAAGGAAGTGCCAGAGGCTGAGTATATCCCCCAAAGGCTTCCCCCAACCCCATGACCTACTTTCACCAGGTACCCCAGCTCTTAAAGGTTTTATAACTACCCTGTCAGCTGAGTAACAGGTGCTCCAAACATGGCCTTGGAGGGAATAGTTCAGATTCAAACTGGGACACTTGCCAAGTGTTTTCTGTTGAGACTGTTTCATGGGGCACACTGTGGGACGCTCTGGGGCACAGCTCCAATGTAGCATGGCTGTTCTTTGTAGATACTCGAGGGAGGGTGGTGATGTAGAAAGCCTTGAATAGGGGAGCAGATGAAATCTTCCAACAAGTCAAGATGTCTGAGAAAGAGAGAGAGCTGCTCATGCATCCCATGACTTGAGTGATATGTGTTTCTTATGTCCTCTGCTTTCCCTCAGTCTCCAACATGAAGGGTCCATTGTACAAAGAATACTTCTATTATTTGCCCTGTCACTTCCTCTAGGTAACCTTCCTGAGACTGAAATACACTCAAGCCAACCCTAGCCACATCATGGATGGTCTGTAGCATATCCACTGCTAACAACATCCTTGAACCTATTAAACTCTGGGACTGTGAACCAATGTTGCCACTTTGTCTATTTAAGCTTAAGTAAGAGTTCAAACACATGATTTCTAGTTAGCAACATTATGCTAGGTCTACCTCTAGTTGTGGTATGGCAAACCACTATATGTCCCATGCTGTCCAGAACCTGCAGGAATATGGGTCCTGAATGGTGACATATCAAGAGGGAGAACCAGGGTTAAGAAATAGAGGAAAAAAGAAATAAAGAAGCAAAAGCAATAGCTGGGACCAAGAGGTCTCCCACAAGCAGATGACTCATGCCAAGCAGAATTCTTTTTTTCTTTTTTTTAGTTTTTTCGATACAGGGTTTCTCTGTGTAGCCCTGGCTGTTCTGGAACTTACTCTGTAGACCAGACTGGTCTCAAACCCAGAAATCTGCCTGCTTCTGCCTCCCAAGTGCTGGGATTAAAGGCGTACGCCACCACTGCCTGGCATCAAGCAGAATTCTTAAGAAGTACAGCGTCATATGTTCTATTTGTAGAGGGGAGAAGTGGTCAAAGTCAGCAGAGCTAAGTCAGACAATCTTCACAAAGAGAACCCCGGGTTCTGCAGACACAGCTACCTCAGGACTGATAACCACAGCTCAGGGGGAAGAGCCTGGTCCCCAGAAGCTGCCACCTTGACTCTTCTGAGGAGATACAGGCTCCAGCACTAGACTGGCCTTGCCAAGTTCACTCCTGGACAAGGACATAGAATTAAAGGTCCTGTTGTCATTTCATCAGGGCCTTTGAGAAAGACTTGGGTTGGTCTGGCCCCTGTGAAGGAGCAAAGGTGGATTTATGTATGGTACAAAGGGTATCCCTTCTTTTAGTTTGAAGGTGTGAGGCAGGTGTTTCTTTCCCTTCCACTTGAAGAAACTTTAGGACCAGTATGTAGCATAGTTCTCTTAAAAGATCTCCTTTTACACATTCTCTGCTTTTAAGTATGGGGAGTAGTGAAATGGCCCCTCCTGGACCTTATTTGAAGGTTTACATTGGGGGAGAGCTGAACACATGGATGGGCTTTTGTCTCAAGATTGTACTTTGATGCTTGCATGCTCATGTTGCTATCATGGTAGCTTGTTGCATACAACACTTTGCTATGAGCATGGACTACATATGCAACTTTCTCTCATCACACACAGAGTCTGAGCAGGCATACTCAATGAAGCAAAGTTAGAGTCTGTGTGCTGACAGCTCCAACTCTGGAGTGTACGGCTGGGAAGAGGCAGGAGAAATGAGGAGATATGCTTGACCTAGAGGATGCTCTTGGCAGTGTAAAACCTGAGCTTCTGTGTTGTGTCCAGGTGGAATTCTAGGACCCGAGGACATGATTGGGTTTTATAGCTCATGTGTTCATTTTTTTATGGGATTGTTGGGGAAAATGCCTTGATTGTCATGGTTTTTGTACTCTGTGGCCATTAACTCTACAGACTTTGGAGTGAGAGGTGAAACGGAGGAAATCACCTGCAAAAGAATAAAAAGGTGATTCTTTGATGTATTTTCTTGGTAGGTGGTGGAGAAAAATGCAGACCCGGAAACAACCCTTCTGGTCTACCTTAGAAGAAAGCGTATCCTGACTCTTCAGTGGAAGTGAGGGTGAGGGGACTGTGGGACTGTTCTCTGAAGCTTACATAATTTCCCAGTGACTTCAAAGAAGCCTGGACAGCTGTGGCATTCAATATAGCTGGGAGACCTTGGGTAATCTTTGGCAACCTAGATTGTAAACTCTCAGTCCTCAAATGAGAGGCTGTTCATGGTGCTCTTTCAGATTTTCTCAGCAAAGAGTAGTAATTCTAGGATTTTTTGTGCCCATGATAGCCCTCCTCAGCTGCCCCATGAGCTCCATGGTCATTTGTCTTGTGAGTAGTGGGATATTCTTAGCTGACATTTGTTTAACACATGCAGGACTACCCAGGAATCTTTCTGGCTCAATATAGGCCCGGAGAGACCAGAGAAGGGGTTTCTATTACTTTTTCTTGTTCTGTTGGGGACTGAACCTATACTAGGTAAACTCTATGTTACTGAGCATTCCCAGACAAGGTTTTTATGCTGGGAAAGGATTATCGCAGTGGGTACTGTGTAAGGCATCAACTGCTTAATGGCAGGCTTTAGAGACATCAAGGACAGGAGATGCCCCTTAGAGAGGTGGTTCTCAACTTGAGTGTCACAACCCTTTTGAGGGGATGTCAAATGGACCTTTCACAGGGATTGCATATCAAATATCTTACATATCAGATAATTATAGTATTATTCATAACAGTAGCAAAATTATAGTTATAAGGTAGCAAGAAAAATAATGGGGGTCCACAACATGAGGAACTGTACTAAAGGGTCACAGCATTAGGAAGGCTGAGAAGCACTGCTGTAGAGTGTCCCGGGCTGCTGCTCCTCATCCACTGTGGGGAAGGCTTCTGTAGAATCCCACACATTTTGTTCTTTCATGTTCTTAAAGTATTCTTGGACCCCGGATCAAAAACAACAGAAAATATAGGTGCTGACATTTAATGAACACTTGTCATGTACAGGCGAAGTTCAAAGTAGTTTGTATAGCTGATGTCACGTAATCTCCACAGAAATTGCATGGAAGTATAACATTATCTCCCTCTGAGAGGGTGTGAGGCCAACACTGATTAAGTGACCTGCCTTTCACTAAGTATATTCTGGGCAAGTTCTGGCAGACCCTGAATGGAAGCTATAGCCTTGCACTTCTCATCCAGGCTGGCAACTCTCAGGGGCCTGTTGCTCCTTTCAACATCTCTCTATGGTGTCCTTGTCCCCATTCCAGAGGTATGAGTGAACCACTTGCTCAGTACTCACAGGAGTGAGCCCAGATATAATCTTAACATTGGTTCATCCCACTCCTATCAGACCGTGTAGAGGATGACTTTGGATGGACATATCTGAAGGCTCAGAAGATGGCCCTGGTGGCTCTTCTGTGGGTTCAGTGAGTAGGAGAAGGGATGCTGTTACCAGTCCAACCCTACTAGGATTAGGAGGTTGTTGAGATGAATTTCAGTGTTCTGAAAACAAAGCTCATTTTAGTTTTCTACTAGTTTCAGTTTTTGTTTCTGAAGCCTAAGAGCCCCAGAAACTCATCTCCGTGGACTGGTTTTGTAAAGCAAAGCTCAAATGAAATTTAAAACTGAAAGTTGCCATGGAAAGTGTAAAGTCCTCTTCCTTATTACAGTCTGGGCTGGTAGTTAATTTGTGAGAGCAGGAGAAATATTCCTAGCCTCGATTCAACTCTAGCATTTCTAGAAAGATGTCAAGGCTAGAAGATAAAGACTAGCCTGCCACCATACTGTCTCTGACTGTACACCTTCTAGTTGTATCAGCTGCAAATAACTATATATACCTTGATTAATGAGAGCAAAGGAGCAAACAAAAAAAATTGAGGTCTTGGAAAGACTCTTTAGCAAGAGGAGGAGGTGGATTACTCACAGCTCTGGAGTCAGGAGACTTCTGAGTCAGAGGACTGTAACACACAAAATGACACTCTGCAGCTCGTGTTACAGCCTAGGACTCGGCTTGTTTGTACTTTGCATTTTAATCTGCAGAGAAATAGTAGCTCGTGCCTAAGCAAATTGCTGTGGAAATCAAGAGCTTTAAATGCAAGATGCAATATTGTTTTTTCTTGTTAATTTTATCTTGAAAATGGATAATGAGGCCATCTGCTAATAATAATAACTTTCTGTGTCTCCCATCTTCAGAAGAGAGAGATGGGAGCTTAGGGATTGACAGAAACTCAACAAGGAGGACCATTTGACTCAAGAATGATAGCCTACTAGTTAACAAGGTAATATCTTTCCACAAAGAGCTTGGTCCATTATTGGTTCCCGATATTTAAAACTCTTTTATTTTTCACCTGTATATATTATGTGAGATATCCAAAAGTTTGGTTTAGCTTTACTTTTGGATTCTAGGACTTTATCACCTTGTAAATTTTAGGGTGAAAAACCCAAGCCTTGGTAAGTCCTCAGAATGGCTGAGGAGCTTCACTGCTCATTTCAACATCCCATATGCTGTCATTGAGATGCAAGGTCCTCTTGCTCAGACACTGGGAGACCCTGACCCTGACCCTGTCCTGGATGGTGTTACGTGGGTACTGACTCATCTGCAGTGAAGATGATCTGTTCTTACATCTGTATGGTACAGCGAAGCCTCACTGATTAAGGAGGCCATAGGTCTGCTGCCTCCTGGGTCAAGGGCTTCAGCTGTGTGTAAGTTGGGCCTGCGAGGCGCTGCCCTGCATTCCCAGACACTTGTAGAGTCCTTTCTCTGGATCTGTGTCCTTAACAAGTGGCTACTCAGTGGGGCTGTGTGGGACCAAGCTTGGCTGTGGAGAAGGCGGCTGTGGAGCATGTACTGTGATGATCTCCAAGTATGACCGTCTTCAGAACAAGATCATGTATCCTTTGCCTGCTGCCGGGTGCTCCACGGGAGGGTAAGATGTGGGATCATCTTGTGAGTGTGTGTGCAGGCATGTTTCTGAGAAGACTCCAAATCATGAATGAAGAGTATAGAATGATATCTTATAGGGTAACTTTCCTGGCTGATGAATGGGGACCAAGCTCTGGACTACTGATAAAATGACCACTCTACAGTCGAGATTAACATGACATTCCATAAAATCCTTCTACAACACTCCATAGTTTGTCCCTGAGTTCCTCCCCAGTTTTTTTTTTTTTTCATCAAGGGCCTAATATACTCCTCAAGTTGAATATGAAGAACTCATGGCCCAGGCCTACTTATTTCTTGATCTTCCTATACACTGTTTCCTGTCCTGAATGTCCTTTCACCCAGGAATTTTCTACCTGGAAATATTGGGTCCCAACAGCATCTCCTCTAAGAAGTGCTGCTTGATCCCCTAAGGTTGAGTTAGGTCCTCCTTGTCTATGCAGACTTCTTAATGCCCTCTGCACAGCTCTCCTGAATCAGTCACCATCGGATTTTAACATCACATCTTCACACTCACTTCGATCTCCTGCACTGACTACAAGCTTTTCCAGGGTAGGGATTTCATGTTATTTAGACTTACTTCCTGAGCCCTCAGCACAGAGCTGGCATGTTGTTAAGAAACCGATATTGTCTGTTTGTATGAAAGAGTGATAACTAAGGGAGGGATGCAGGTAAGGGGCTAGAGTCTCACCTCTACCTTTACCCCAGGGAAATGGAGGAATAGAAGGGGTGAAAGCAAAGTTATGTGAGTTTCTAATGCTGAGGATCAAGGCAGGGCCCTGCAGAGAGAGGAACGTGCTTCAAGGTTATAGCCTGCTGGAAAGTTCCTTTCAATGCTCTCTAGAGTTGGGATAAGAGGTTGTTTAAAGTACTCCATTTTCCTTTGTTCCAGTTTGAGGCTGGTCCAATTGTAGCTTGCCCACCGAGACTCCAAGGAGGCTCAGTCTCAGCTGGAATAGAGCTCCCTTTGTTCCTGGCTCAGGGTCTTAGATGGAGAGGCAAGGACAACAATAGCAGACACAAACGTAGCAGAGAGCATAGAGACATTCAGAAAGCCCCCGGGTCCCATGAGGCAGTCCCTGCACTGCTGTGATGACCTCAGTGGCTGTGAAACGACCTTAATCTGTGGTTCTAGTCATTTTTCTGTCAATGCCTGCTTGGCCCCCATCTGCTCCTTGCATCATGTTGCTGTGACAACCGTGGAAGGCATAGGAAACACCAAGAAGCTGCATCCTGTACAGGTGAGTGGGGTGGTAAGTGTGAAGCCAGAACATTTTACAGGGGAGCTTGGACCAAGCCTGCAGCTTTGTTGGGAGAAACTTCACAGCCTGAGCAAAGGAGGTTGTTCCAGGGCCCTCTCTGAATTTCTTCTAGATACTACAAGGTAGAGAGAGCAGGTACTCATACCCAAAGCTCCACCATCATTAGGGGCAGGATGATCTAATACTGCTTGACACCCCCCCAAACAATAATAACAACGAGAACTCAGCTGAATCTAATGTTCAGGGCATCCTTGCTCCAGACATGGGAAAGCAGGGAAGGACATCTTGCTCTTGAGTATGCTTCAACAATTGACAGTCCCCCAATCCCAGATTTCCATGACTCCCTGTAATAAGCCCATGTACTTCATGTTATGTGGAGTGGTAATTCCAGTTGTGCCATTCACCCCCCCCACACTCTAGGACAATACAAATAATGAATTAGTAACTCTACACATTGCTGGTGCAAAATGCCTGTCTGAAGTAACCGGAGACAAGTAGTAAGAGTCAGCTACCATTGCATCAGGCTCAAAATGGGAACAAAGGAAAATGGGCTACTTTAATACTTACAATAGTAAGGAAGAATTTATTTTAACTCAGTTTGAGGGTACTCGTTACCATGGTAGGGAAGTCATGGTGATCTGCATGTGAGGCAGCTGGGCACATTGGAGTCACAATTAGGAAGCAGAGAGCAATGGAATGCTCATATCTGGCTAGCTTTTGTTTTTTTATTCAGTCCTGAATTCAGCCATTTCCCCCACCTTGACTAATCTGGATAAACCCTCACGGCCTTGACCAGAGGCAAACTTAATTTAGATAATTCCTCACGAGATACATCCAGAGATTTGTTTCCTAGTTGATTATATGTTCTATAATGTTATCAATCAAAATTAATCACCATGAATACCAGACCTTTACTCTCTTGAGAACTAAGATAAGAATAGCAAGGGGCTACGTGACTTGGTTGACAAGATTGCTTTCCTAGCATGCATGGAGCTCTGGATTGGGTCCCCACCACCATATAAACTAGGTTCTGTGAACTGCCCACTTGTAATCCTAGCACTTGGAAGGACCCAGGAGAATTAGAAGTTCAAGGTTATCCCCAACCTCAGCAACTTCAAGGACCAACCATATAGACTATAAATATCTTACTGGGGTTTTCTCCCTTGTGGAACTGGATCTTGCCAATGGATTGAAGTCAAGAACTGTTAAGTAGACTATATTACAAATCTAGGGGTTTGGAGAGAGAAGTTGAATGCTTTTAGATCAAATTGAAACAGGTGGGGGCAGAGAACAGTGTGCAGCCCCGCCCTAGGATAACTGAGGCAAGAGTCCTTTGAAAAATTCCAATCAGAGATGGTTCCAGAGTTAAATCCAGGTCTTAGTCCTCTCTTGACCGCTTGAAGACACATGTCTTTCAGGAGGTGACACTTTCTTGGTCTTCTTCCATGACATCAGGCACTAGGGCCTCCAGATGACCAAACAGGTTCTGTTCCACAGGAGAAGCATGTGATCCAGTCTGTGATGTCAGAGCAGGGTGAGGGTAGTATTGCTTCATCTCTGTCTCTTAGGCAGGAAAAGGGGACGCCTCTAAACCTGCCCAGCCTGTGAGAAGTGTGAGCTTAATTTGAGCCTGTTCTTTTCTCTGTAGCGAAGTGAAGAATGAGTAGCTTGAACACAGGATTTGTATCTGCCCTTCCAACAGCATGAGCTTTACTCTTGGTGTTCTAACTTTATCTCTATATAAGCAGCAGGGCCGACTCTACTCCTGGTCTATTGGATGTTCTTGTTTTCTGGCTTCCCCATGTTTCTTCGTATTCCCATTGGGATCAATGTTGACTTGTTGGCTCCCCACACACTGCCACAGTACCCAGGTTCTGGCCTCAGCCCCGCCCTTCTCCATTCTCACACGCTCACGGCAGGTATATTTAACACCCATTACCTGCAAATAGCACACAATTGTACTTTCAACTTGGACCTTGCCTTAGAAGTTAGACTCATTTGCAATTGACTACTTGACACCACAGCACAAATGTCTAATCTTAATCATAGGAAAAACCCATTTTGTCCATAACATCTTCCTTCTTGGGTATTGCTTTATTTGAGCCAGTGGCAAAGCAATCTATTCTATTTTCCAAGATAAGAATCTTGGAGTAGTCTTTAATCCTCTCACACACTACACCCTATCCACCCAGAAGTATGGTCTACCCTCCAACCTACAGCATCTATGACACCTCCCCATCTGTTTTACTCTCACTACTTGGTCCATGTCATTATCTCTCTTTGGCTGGCTATACTATATCCCAAAGACCCATTTCTGTGTTTGCTTTTAGAATGCAATTTCTATCCAGCAGCCCAGAGTGACTTTTTAAAAAACAGTGAATCACATCACTGCTGGCTGAAATCTCCTAATGCTGCCCATCACACAGAGAACGTTCTGTAGCCTGCCCTGGCTTGTGAGGAACTGCTTTCCCACCCAAAGTATTTAGTGTCAGCAGGTTCCACCCATATTCTCTCAGCTTCTCTGGCATGGCAAGCTCCTGCTGTATCAAGCCTTCTTGCTGACAGTTCTCTTTTCTTGATCCAAACTGTGATATTGAAACCAGACTCGAGAGTCTTTCTAGAGTGGCCTCTTCTGACCAGGCTCAATGGATGCCAGTCATTCTGGATCATGTAGTCTTGAACAGATCTTCTGTACAGCACTGGCCACCACACAGAATTTTTCGTATTCCATTTTTATCAGTATTGCCCTATTACAGTACGGACTTCATGTAATTTCTACCCATCTCTCTTCTCTGTTTACACAGCCTTTCCATGCCTACTGCTCACTAGGTTCGTAGTCCATGTTCACAAAATGGATGGGCAGACAGACTACGGATATAGATATTATAACATCTTGTCAGTTTCAGTCAAGTACCAAGAGAGATTCTCAAGAGACAGAAAGAGAAGAAAGTCATGTGGATAAGGAACGGGAACTTTAGTAAAACCTACCAGCTTTGGGTGGGAGTTTTGTGATATCCCACACATATAATAAGCTAAGCTAACTCACTTTAGCTCCTGTTCCAGTTCTCATGTCCTCCCTGCGCTCCCACACTACCTTCACTTAACAATCCAGGAAGGCAGTGGTGGGTTTGAATAGGGCACACTCTGAGGTCCTTCAGGAGTGGTGCTTGAATTTCACAGCAGGCTTCTGTAGCCAAAAGAACAAAGCACAGTGCTTCTATTTAAGATACTTGAACCTGGGTAAATTCCTAAAGTCCCTGTGCTAAAACAATCAGTATTCTCTGAAGGACTTGTCCGCTAATGGCTAACATTGATGAATGCCTACAGAATGCCAGGGACAACATCAGGAGTTTAAGGTTGTCCTGGTGTCTGTAATCTAAGCTGTTTAGGAGACTGGGGTAGAAAGAAATCAAGTTCAAGGATTGCCTGCACTACACGAGATACGATCACAAACAAACAAACCAACAAACAAACATACAAACAGTAGAAAAAGATCTACAGATGTTCAGTGATAGAGTCTCTGTCTAGCATGTTCAGGGTCCTAGGATCAATCAGTAATAAACAGAAAGAAAGAAGGGGCGGGATGGATAAAGAAGAGAAAAAGATAAAAAGAGTTTTACATGTATGACTTTTTAAAATCCTTAACTGTAATTAGTGGGATGATCCCCATCATGAAGATGAGGAATCTGTGATGCCTCAGATAGGCTTGGTGGCCTGATGGAGACCGTCACAGCTTTAGGCGAATACGAAGGAGCTGGGGAGCTGGGGTTCCTGACAACATGAACATGTGTTATCTGTCCTTTTTTAGGAGAGAATTGCCAGAAGCCATGGTTCCCAGTGTGGGTTCTGTACCCCTGGCATTGTCATGAGTATGTACACACTGCTCCGAAACCAGCCTGAGCCTACTGTTGAGGAGATCGAGAATGCCTTCCAAGGTGTGGACCTTTTGGCACAGCCCAGGGAGTGGGATGGCACATGGGTCCTGAACAGGTCAATGCAATGACAGTCAAGGATGGGCTGGGAATGGCAGGTATTGCTCTTCAGAAAGCTCTGGCCACAAAAGCATGGTGGCCAAGATCTGCTGGGAAGTTAGGCTACTCCTGGTTGGCCAGGTTGGTCCCTACTTCCTGAGATGTCTAGATCCTACCCTTCACTGGGCAACTTTGTCCCAAGACAACTAGCATAGAGGACCACTGACATTTGGGAAACTGTATAGAGCAGTGCTTCTCGACCTTCCCAATGTGGCATGCGACCCTCAACAATAAAATTAATTTCATTGCTATTTCATAACTGTAAATTTGCTACTGTTATGAATCGTGATGTAAATATTTTTGGAGATAGAGTGTTACCAAAGGGGTTGTGACCCACAGGTTGAGAACTGCTGGCCTAGGGTCTCATAAAATGGGGTTCTTACACTTGACTTCCATTCGAACAAGCACTACCAGGGTGATTGCTGCTCAGGAGGAAGACAGACTAGCTGCTGAGCCACAGCAGTTACTGGCTTCCTGATTCATCTCTTGTGACTGGACTGTAGCTATCTATCTAGGGAACTAAATCCAGAAAGTTTTCCATCTATTAAACATCTCAGCCGATCACCCATTCAAACTTCTTTTGAGGCCTACTTTATGTACTATCTGAAGTGTGTAGGATACAGGATAAAAGATGGGAGTCCCTCCAGGAACTCTCACTCTGAAGAGGAAGCATAACTGGTAATATAGTTTGAGAAGCTCAGAGAGAAGGTGATCAGACACTCTGGAAAGGCCAAGGTGGGCTTGTTCTAGGCATTCTGGGAAGGCATCAGGATGGGTGTTTTAAAGACAGAATTATAAGCAGGAACAGGACCTTATAGGCAGCAGACACAGAATGTCAAAGGTCAAGGACATGTAGCAAGGTCATAAGCTCCTCATCACCTGAGGAGAGCATTGACATTACAACTTTTTCCTTGGCCTGCAGGAAACCTCTGCCGCTGTACAGGCTATAGACCCATCCTTCAGGGATTCCGGACCTTTGCCAAGGTAAGTGGGGGTCCTAGAATGGGCACAGCCTGCCCCTAAAGCAGAATTCTGAAAAGAAAAACACAATTGGGAAGGATGCCAAGGACCTTAGGTCTACTAGGAAGAAGGATGAAACAAGCCAGTGTATGAGTCTGCCTCCTAGGGATGTGTGCTAAGGCAAGCAGATGCTGCCTTCTTATCCCTGGTGTGCAATTTCCTGCTGGGAAGGCCTGCAGCTCAGAGTCTTTGGAAGATGTGCACTACCCAAGTGTTGCTTTCCCACAATGCCTCAAGGCTTGGCCACTTTCCTTGATGATTGGCAGGCTCTGCCTGTACAGGTGCCAAATGTGGCATTTAACAGTATCCCTGCCTCGCTCAGCCTCATACCCCTCCTCCTTCCTTCTCTTAGCTGCTGTCACAGTTGGCACTCTGCTGGCCTTGTGAAGCTGATAATTAGATCTCCAGACAGTTTATGAACCACTTCGGAATTCATAAACCTCTAGTCTGAGACCATAGCTCGATGTGTGATCACTGGTGGTGTAAACACAGACACACGCCCGCTAAGTGGTAATGATAGGATGTTGACCTGCCTGTGTTTGGTTTATCCACCTCAGTTTTTACCTGATTCTTCATCTGGGTTAAGAGAATTCTAACTTCAATCAAACTTTCTCATCATGGTTTGATTGTGGGCCTGGGCAGAGTTGGGCAGTGGAGTTCCTCACTAACTTTAGGGCAGGCACATCAGGAGAAAGTGATGGGTTTATGTAACTCAGGAAGGCTAAAGAAGGTGGAGATCCAGCAATCTGATCATGAAGTAGGGGCTATGCAACTAGGTAGAACTGCTAGAAATGAGTCAAGGATTATAATAGCCACTATGTAGTGTTTATAAAAAATAAAGTTGCTGCTGGTGCTCTGGGTGGAAAATGGGAGGTCTATGCAAAGGGAATCTATGCTGAGAATGACAGACAAGGCTTTCCCATGAAGCAACATGTCTTGACTCATGCCTTATGCACCTACTTTTGAGTAAGGGGAATTTTTGTAATAGATCAAGGAGACTTTAAGGGAGGAAGTGCAAGTTGGTTCAGGAATGCGTTGTGGATGCCTGTCTGAGTTGTCTCAACTTGGTTGTTGAGCACAAAAGAGAGAAGGTATTCCTGGACTGATAGATACTACTGTGATCTGGCAGTTGGGGCTCCAAAGAGCCAGCAGAATCTGAAAGCTTTTCAGTCTCTCTAAAGAAGATGATGTCCATCAATACTTTGCTGGAAAGCCGTTAGACAAAGAAGGCAAGCCCAGAACCAAAGTACCAAAGATTCAGCAACTTGCTATTTCACGTGCCATGCAACACAAATGTTGATGTATTACGCTAAGGAAATAATGTAGTAGTTAGTAAAATGAGGAGGCTGTGGAATATGATAAATATTTGATAAAGAGAATGAAGGAAGTGCGTGCGTGTGCACACACACACACACGCACACGCACACGCACACCAGGAACAGATTGCTGAGGATGTCAGCTGTCCTACTTGAGAGCTTCTACTATGTCTGAGTCAAGTCAAAAATAAGACTTTGAAAGGAGCAAATACATGATCAGAGTTTGAAAAAAAAAAGTTAAGTACCTCTTGCAGAGCCTTTAGGGACAATATCTAATACAATGTAGGCCTTCAACAAGTGGCACTTTAAGAGATGGTGCTGACAGTGTCTTCTCTTATCTGACATGCTCTTCATGAAATACCCAGACTTCTCTGAGAAGCAAGGATTGTTCAGCTTGTCTCTGTGCACCCATCTTAGGATCCTGCTTAAAGATACACAATCTAACTAGCCCCGAGAGTGCTTCAAACGAGAAGAATGTCAGCTCCTCTCCTCCAGGTCTCATGGAGTTGGTGCATGACTTCACTGTGAAGTACTCTACCCTTCCCACCCAGTTTTTCCTTGGTTGAGATGAGAGCTCTAAGCAGCCCAAAAGCCTGGCACTGAGCAAGCATGTAGAAGTGCCTTCATGTTCCTTCCGTGGAGTCCCCAGGATTCTTATTTAGAGACTGTTTACTTTTATCCCTGGCTGTATCAAGCTTGGATTTCCTATTTTCTCATACACAGCACATTGTTACTGAAGGATGAGCAGAGTCTGGTAGAGCTGGGCACATGGTTGACATCAAGAAAACTGTTTCTGTCTATCAGAGAGGAAGGGGATAGACAAGTCATTAGAAAAGGCAGAAGCGAGATTTCTGTTTTCCACTATGGTGAGTGAGCGTAGATGTTTCAGTCCATGCAAAGCCAGACAACTGGAAGGTAACAGCTCTACTCTGATTCTTTGTGTGGAGGGAAGTTAGAGGACCATCTGCTGCTCCTCAGGTAGAAGATAGACAGGGAAGTCCAGACAATCACAGGCACAAGAAAGAACATCTGGAAAGTAAGGGAAAATGTTGTATTTATAGGACAATCCCAAAAATTTTTTGAAAAAAGCAGAAACACATAAATGTTGTACCAGAGTCTCTCCTCTAGTCATATCATGTATCATGTAATATGTAACATATAACATGTATCATGTATCATATATATCATCATATATCTCATATCATATCATACCATAGACTACCCTACTAGGAAGAAGATAAATTCTCAACCTCAGTCTCCTCCAGTCACCTTGACTCATCTAAGGGAAGAACAGACTCCAGAAAGATCCTGTGAAATTTACAGTGTAGGGGCAGACTCACGTGTTCAGTACAGGCATACTGACAGAGTTGTTTTTATTCAGCACAATGCATCTGCTCTTCAGTAAAAAATATATATATTCAGAAAGGCAAGCACAATTTTAGGAGGCTGAACATACAGTAGGATTGGAGTTCATATGATGGAGGTGTTAGAATAATCAAATCATGACTTTATAAAAATAATATAATTACTATGCTAAAGGTTTTAATAGAAAAAAATAGACATGCAATAACAGATAATGAAACACTAACATCAAAGCCACTATAACAAAATGAAGAATGTCCTTGCTGGACTTATTTGTGACCTCAATGTTCAGGAAAGCAGTTCTGAGACTCAGGATATGAAAATGCAGACTCCCAAAGCCAATGAGCAAAGAGAAGAAACGAGAAGGAGATTATAAACCAGAAGATCAAGAACCATGGAACCACAGGAGTGTAACATGCATGTGAGTGGGAGCCAGAAGAAGAGGAAAGCAAGGGACAGGAGCAATAGTTCAACAATATGAATGAGAATTTCCCCAAATGGATTTTTGACTCCAAACCACATAACCAGGGCTCTAAGAGAACACCAAGGTGATCAGTATCAAAAGAACAAAATTAAGCAACAAGAACCAAACTAAATGAAATGAAACTAGCAGAACCCTAATCCCTACAACATGTACTAAAGTCAAGCTTCAGAAAATAAGAATTAAAGAAACAGTCATCCAAAGAATCCAGAACTACAGCCGGTCTACACACAGCTAAGGATCATGTTCTCCTTATAGGGAACTGAGTAAACATGAAGAGACTGGAGTGATATACTGAAGTCACCAAGGGATAAATTCCCTCTGAGATAAATCCTGTACACATTTGTAATCCCAGTGTACAGGGAGGTAGAGGCAGGAGGATCTCTCAAAGTTGACACCAGGCCGCATAGTGATTCTAGGCCACTGAGTAGATCAGTGAAAGAACCGATGCTTTAAGAAGACACACAGGGATTTCTTAAAAGCATGTGTGGAAGTTTACTAAATCAAGACAACTTACTAGGGCTACACCACTAAGAAGTATGGCTCCCCTTTGTCCAGCAACCATTAGCTGCCTATAGTTTCTCACGGGAAGATGGGGCTTTGTGAATGTTGATAGGCCCTGTCTAGTGCAGGCTGTGTCCAGGCACTCCTGCTGTGAGTTCCTGGGTCCAAATGCCACAGTGCAAAGACATAGAGGTTCTTAGCATGTCTGCAAGTAACAGCAGAGCACAGTGAAAAGAAATTCCAAGATAAAGTGTAAAAAACTTTTTAGCTGAATACACTTGAAATTTGCAGAACTGAAAAGACAGATGGTGTTAATGTTTTAAATAGATATCTCATCGCTATTCTATCAGAAATGGCCATATCTTGCAGATAGAAAAGACTAGGAAGGACACAGGTGAATTCAACAGAATCATCAATTACTGCATGTAGCTAGAGTTTCTATATCACCACAGCTAGGAATGACAGAAAGGACACTTTGTTCATGTTCACACTGAACCTTTACCAAGATAGTTCACATTCTGGACTGTAACACAAATAAAAGCCAATAGCAATTACACAATGTCTGTTTGGAGACTAAACTGTGGTTAACCTAGAACCAACAACAGAAAGAGAGCTGGAAAATATAAAAGGTACTTTCTGTGAGAATAAGCAACACACTTCCAAATAACACGTGGGGCAAAGAAGAAGTCCCCAAGTAAATTTAAAAATGTTTTGAACTGGATAAAATTGAAAATATATTTTGTCAAATTGCTTAGAGGAAAATTTATATCAAAGAATGTAAATGGGAGAGGAAAAAAATCTGAAAATCAATAATGGAGGCTTACACCTTAGGAAAATAAAAAAGAGCAAATTAAATCTAAAAGAAGCTGAAGAAACCATATTTAGAGGAGAAATTGATGAAATTGAAACCAGGAATTCCATAGAGAAAAATTACCAAAACAAAATCTAGTTCTTAAAAAAAAATCAATGAAAGCAACAAGCCTTGAGTCAGGCTATCTAAGGGACAGATGCAGATTACTCATATGAAAATGAAGGGAAGACGATGCCTATGGAACAATAAACATTACGTGGATAATAATGGAGACTCAGGACAAATCTCTAGACCGTTCCCATCATGGCTGCCTCCTGGAAAGCAGGGTCATGTGTAATCTCTTGCCTTCAGCACTAGAAATTCCCAACGAGGAATAGTCCAGTCAGGTAGAATATTAGATACCATTTCTGTGATATCTTCAGCCTCCATGATCCTAACAAGACGACCTTAGCTTCCGCAATTTCTCTTAGTCTTTGTGTCACAGCTTTTGGTCCTGCCCGTGGTGGAAGGTAGAGATGTAATCAATCTCATTGTGGGCACCTATGCTTGGTGGAGATGTATGCATAAAAAAAAGACCATGTCTTTAAAGGCTCTTCTGCGTCAGACTTCACCTTAACTTAAAATCCTTTGTAAACATTGAGTCTGAATCGCAGATTTGATCTCTAAGTTCCCAATAAACAGTAAATAGGATGACTCAGTAAAGGTTGTTCTCTATACAATGAAAACAAATCTCGTTAAATGGAAACGATGTTCTCTTCAGAACAAATAATGTACTAATAATGTAGCACTTTCCTGACAAGGAACTGAAAGGAATGAGTTACTTTTGCAGGTGCTAGTTCACAGTTTCTCAAAGTGCACACCACAGAACTGGCCATGTTCAGCTGCATCCTTACTGATGGCTCCGTCTGGAGGATTTGTTCGTTTCTTAGGAGTAGAGTTGCCGTCTCCACTGAAAGCAATTTTCCCTGCACTTCTCTGTTTCATTTTGTTCAGTTTAAAACACTTAAAATCTTATCTTGCAAGATTTTTCTTTTGATGCCTTACTGTTGTCTACACACACATTAAGGCTTTTAAAGTTTTGATTTGGGGGTGGGGTTTTGAGACAGGATCTCTCTGTGTAGCTCTGGCTGTCCTGATACTCACTATATAGACCAGGCTGTCCTTAAACTCACAGAGATCTGTCTGCCTTTGCCTCTGGGTGCTGAGATTAAAGCATGCACAACCACCACCACCAACTTCCAGATAAAGGGTTTTTATGTCTTCTTAACTGGGCTACTGTACCTATGACCTTACACTTGGCTTCTGACTCAGTGCTTAGGAAGCAGAGGCAAAGGCTCCCTACCTCTGCTTCCTAGCACTGAGGTCATGTGTGTACATCACTGTGTTCCTTTCTTCTGTTTAAATTTTAAATATGAGTCTCAAACCTTACAGAATTCTAAGTTGGTAGAATCTCTCTCTTGTTTTTTTGAGTATTTTAGCCAGTTATCTTCTTGCTTGCCTCATAAAACACAGAGCATGGGAGGGTGTGGACAGAAAAGTCAGCCTCTGGAGACTCTGAGTGACTCATCATACATCACAATAATTTAGGGACTAAATATACCAATGAATTATCAAGGAAGATGATCCAAGTGGTAATAGGTTGCAACACTGGTTGTCTGGAAAAAGCTGCTTATATAATATACGCCCTTCCTCAAGAAGGTCAGGTAAGCTGTATGCAAATTCTTCTTGCTTTTAACAAGTCTGAGAATGCAACCTCACTACTCCTTCCCCAAGAGGAAAGCTGGAAAGAGATATTAAGGGCTCATTCTCCCTGCCTAAGCATAGAGAAGGGCATGCTGGGAGAGGGTGTGTGCGTCTGGAACAGACAGAACAGGTCTGGTATGCAAGGATACAGCTAAGTTGCCAGAGGGCTCTGCACACAGAGCTATGTGAGGTATGAACTAGCAAGGGTTTCTCTTGTTCATAGTTACATGTTCTCAAAGGCCACACCCTCAATCACTAAGACCTTCTAAGAGCTTTTTCAGGCACAGGTAGAGGGTGTTGGCTTTTCTTTGGAGAAAGGCCAGCATGAAAAGTTATCTCTCCTGATTCATACACAGAAGGGCAGCCTGCCCCCAGCTTACTCCATGATGACCCAGTATCCTAGAAAACGAAGTCTCCCACATTTTTTCTTAAAGTTAACTTCGTGATGTTGGAGTGCCTCCTGCCTTCTTGAGTTGAATCTGGCAGGTGGACACACATATATCCACCACGTGCTGCTTCAGTTGAGAGATGGATCAATCTCTTCTTATGTGTGCTTGGTCACAGATCTCCTGAGAGGTTTGAGCAAGCGCTTCCCCGTAAGTGAGGAGTGACCTATGCTCTTTCTCAGGAGAACAGTCACAGTGAGGAGTGGTGTGTTTAGCTTTCTGGGAGAAAGGCATAGTAAGTACTAGAGGCCATTGTGCACACTGGCTGGATGCATCTTTGAGATCCATGATGACTTAGGACATCCATGACAAAGTCCCCAGCTGCAGAGATTCCCAACCAAACTTCATAAATCTCAGCTGGTCTAATAGTAGCACATATTGAGTTTTGTGAGAAGTGGTAAGAATTTTTCTCTTAGGGCTTCCTAAGAAATCAGCAGTGAAGAAGGAAAACAGGTATAAATATACATTGTGATAAAGTAGAGGCTAGCTTTTGTGGAGAAATTTTCTTGGAAATCAAATATCCCTGTTGCCCCAAAGACTTCCTTAGTAAAGTGAGCACACAGCAGGGACCTTGGCTCTCTGAGTGGAGACAGACTGAATGAGATGCAGTGCTCCTCCTCTTGTTGCAGGCTGGGATTAGCAGACCTGGGCCTCAGTAGATAAGGGTAATGGATTTAGCATCTGTGAAACAGGAAATATCCTTATAGTGAATGTGTGTCATCTCCTCAGGATGGTGGATGCTGTGGAGGAAGTGGAAACAACCCAAATTGTTGCATGAGCCAGACAAAAGACAAGACGGTAATGGGGGCTTCTGCTCCGGAAAGCCTAGTGGGCAGTCTTAGATCTGGGATGGGTGGTAGGGGTCACTACGCTCTTTCCACGTCTCTGGAAGTGGTGCTGGAAAAAGGATCAGAGGGGCGTCGCGCTCAGGTGATGAAGATGATGATGAAGATGCTCATTACCTCTGAGTTCTCTGGCAGAGAAGCCATGCTTCTTCTCCCAGGACAAGACAACCCTCTACCTGGGAAAGAAAGAGCTTGCTAGAGGACGAGCTGGGTTAGTCGGCCCGAGTGAGCATCCGATACTTACTGTTCCCTTTCCTTGCAGATTGCTCTCTCACCTTCTTTATTCAATCCAGAGGATTTCAAACCTTTAGATCCCACGCAAGAGCCCATCTTTCCCCCAGAGTTGCTGGTAGGTGATACTGGGGAGATGTGTAGCCAAATATCTGTTCCACAAGCCCCTGAATTCTATTTCATGTACACAGCTGCTGAGAACTTTTTACATATTTGTCTTAGATTTTGGTCTTACATTTAAACTTAGTTCTCCTTTTTCCCACCATTTCTAGGAGGTAAAGACCTTCTATCCCATCTTCCGTTTCTCCTCCTAACCTGTATCATACATACAGTTAGAGATTCCATGTCCATGTTCTTGATGGACTTTAAGCCCCACAGGAATACAGACTGGTCTTTATAGTAATACACTCTGTATCCACTGTGTATCAGTTTGGACCTCCTGCCTATCTCTGTGTGTAAGCCCATCTACCTATTTCCCTCTCTACAGGTAACTTACTTCCTTAAAGGGAACATAAAACAGCTATATTCAAAGGGCATGAACACGGCTTGAGGCTCTATCTTAAAGATACAGTGTCGTGCCTACTTTATCATTTTCATTTATATTTGTTGCAAGGAAAGATTCAAGCCTCCTCTCTGGTTCATGCGTCTTGGGGATGTAGGCTCTTGAACCCTACCTCAAAAGTTCAATAAGTCAGGGGATAGATTATCAGAGTCAGTGGTGTATCTTCCTCTGGACTGTGAACCCTTGAAGACACCATCAGTCTGATAGCTGGAGTTTCTTTTACCACCCGGTATCATCCATATCTACTGATTCAGCCCAGCGATCTCTTTGGATGTCTGTCCTCCTGACCTCTAACCTTTCCCATTCCTTGTCCTCTGTGCCTCTTGGTGACGATGTAGAGATAGTGTCAGGAACCTGAGATTTCTGGTTTGGGTCTTCATAGCAGGTGACTTTTGGCAGGTTCCATAACCTCCTTGATCTTCAGCCTTAACAGTGATGCTCAGAGTGCATCTCTCGCCAAGGTCTTCTCAAGAGTGCTATGGCGTGCTGAATAAGGAACGGAGCACCTTACTGTATGTAATTTCCCCCTCACTTTTGCTCTTGGCATGTGCAGCTCCTTCTGAGTTCAGTATTAGACAAGTCAGTAAACAGGTTGACCCCATTGCAGACTTACTAGTGATTCCTTGAGTGAATGGTGGTAGGAAGGAGACATATAGTAAGCTAACTACACTTCCCAGAGGCTGAAAGACACACCCCGGAAGAAGCTGCATTTCGAAGGGGAACGTGTGTCCTGGATCCAGGCTTCGACCATGGGGGAACTGCTTGACCTCAAAGCTCAGCACCCTGATGCCAAGCTGGTGGTGGGAAACACGGAGATAGGTAAGACTCCATGGAGACCTTGGGGTATTTCTGGGCTCTTTCTGTCCCTCTTCTCTCTCCCTGAACTTCCCCTCTGCTCTCAGTGTTTTCTCGGGTATTCAAGGAATGCAATGAGAAGCTCAGGACACTTGGACTCCTACGACACTGGTTTTGGAGTCAGTGAAGCCTGGTTCAGTCTCTACCTAAGCATCCTAAGAAAGGTTCCTTGCCTTCCAATACTGTGTATGGAGTGATGTAACTTCTCAGAGGGCTGCTTGGATAGCAGGTGTGATCCTTATACTTGCCGATTTTCTCCATGAACATCTATAGAGTTCCAACTGTGACGCTCCCAGTCTCTGGGAAGAGCTAGGGACACAATAATCTAAGAGAAAAAGTTCTTTCCCTCACAGCTCTCTTGGTCTAATAGGGATGGAAAAAATGCTAAATGCTAGTCAAGTGTTGAGGCTAGTGTCTGATCAATGCTAGAGGTCTGTAGGTGTGTGTGTGCGCGCATGCGTGTGTGTGTGTGCATGTGTGTGTACATGTGCATGTGTATGTGTGTGTTGTCTATGTGTACATGTGGTGGCCAAATGAAGATGGTAAATGTCCTACTCTTTATGTGATAACTTATATCCCTGAAACAGGATCCTCAATTAACCTGGAGCTTAGCTGAGAAAGCCCCAAACCACACTAGGGTCATGGCTGTGTGTAGCCACCACTAGTATTTTACATAGGTATTTGGGATTTGAAACTAAGGACTTAGGCTTGCCCATGATTTAGTATAGCAGTGGAGAACTGTCCAAGGGAGACTAGGTCAGCTGGACCATGCTACCATCTGGGTCTGGGACTCACAATAGCTGAGAAGGCCAAGAAGGCTCAGGTCATATACTCTGAGCCCTGGTGTTCCATGAGACAACAGTGGTGGCAGAGGGCCCCGGTCCTTGGTTTTCTCTATCTACTTCTAAATGTAGCTTGCCTGGCATTTGTTCTGCTGCATCCTCAAGCCTAGTGAGATCCAGGAAGTTCATAGCACAGTGAAGGGTGGCCCAGAGGATCTCTGTTTCGTGTATGCGTGCTGAGGTGATTGACACACCATGCTTGAGAAGTTAAAGCAGCTCTTGGGAGTCTGCTCTGGTTTCTGAAGGAGCTCAAGTCCTTAGATTCTGGTTGGACCCTCAGCCCAGAGAGGAGAACCCGGTTTGGACCAATGATAGAGCACAGTACTGTCCATGCCCTCAGAAGCACAACTGTGGTACCTCCATCTGTAGTGTTGTGACACACTGTGTTTAGGGTGTGAGACATGCCTCTGTGGTGTGACTTTGAAGACTATGGCCTAGTAGCATTCATGGTGGTTGGTGCTCTTGTTTTCCATAGGGCTGTGGCTCTCAGGCCTTTTGTCTATATAACCAGAGCCTTAGGGACCAAAGGTAGCATAGCTAGAAAGACCTTTGGAGATGCTTTGACCCTGGACGGGTTCCTCTCCATGAGTCAGGTAGCTCTCTGGATTATAATAAGATCTTAGGAGCTACACAATTGAAAATAATTTCTCAAGACTGCTTTCATCTGCTTTCCTTCCTCCTGATACACATATCACGCAGAGTAAACACCTACCTACAGTCAGGGCAGGTTGTGAAGGAGTGAGTGTAGGAAAAAGACTTACTAAGATGGAATTCACTGCACCAGTCTGTGTCTTATCTTGGGAATGGACTTCTCAAATGGGTTTTGAAGCCCTAAGCTATACCAAGATGGAAAGTCTGGTATTTCTGTTTCAACTTTCCTTATCTGCAACACTATTGGCTAGACTGAGAGAGAGTGCATCCTCTGGGTCCAAGGCACAGAGGTGCAGCATCAGCATCAGCATCAGCATCAGCATCAGCATCAGCATCAGCA